TTTCTCTGGCCATGGGAGGTGGCCATGTGGATTTTCTCTGGCCATGGGAGGTGGCCATGTGGATTTTCTCTGGCCATGGGAGGTGGCCATGTGGGCTGAAACTGTACTTGTACAGTTGAGTTTGTTTTCTTGCTCCTACCATCATCATGAGAAGAGTGAACCCCAACTGGCCCACTGGTCCAAGGAAGGTGATAGAAATGTGACCTGGACCCAGTCTGCAGCTTGGAGCCAAGCCCATCAGAACCCAGCCCACACCAGCTTGACTTCTAGATGCATGAGTGAGAATAAATGATTGTGTTTTGCCTCTGAGTTTTGGAGCAGTTGGTTACACAGCTTTATTGTGGCAATAGTAGACTGATACATGCCCCATTACCCAGAAGCATCTGGCTTAAAAGAGAGCTGTATAGCCTACTGAGAGGCAGTTACGACACCCTGCGAGGTGTCATAGACAATGTTGGGTGCAATCTCCCCCATAGTGGAATGCATATTATTACTTTTTTGTATGTTTGTTGGTTTCAAACAATTCTCCAGGTATTTTCATTTCTGTGAAGGAGTTGAAATGTCTGTGACCCACACTGAGGCCAGTAGGCAGAAATCTTTACTGTTCTTTGCACAAGGGAAGGACAACCTCTCCTAACACCAGTGAGGACCACAGGAAATGTAAGTGGGAGAAGGGAACACAGCTCCGGGGCTACTGCAGGCCAGCGCCTCTGCCCACTACCCTCAGCCTCTACCCCCAGTAACAAAAACAAAGTGGTCGGGTCGCACCTCCTCTTTCCCAGGGCGGTTCTCTCCTCATCTACCCACAGCCGGCATTGAACTTGCCTCTGCTCTGTGTCTGGTAGGTGGCCCATACATGTCACCACCGGATTGTAGGTAAGAGGCCATCCTGGCATCCTTCCAGAGCACTTAGCACAGAGCCTTGCTCTCAGTAAGTGATTGGTATCATTCTGTTGGGGGGACAATCTCGTTTAGTCCAGCCTCCCTCCGGAAGCAGAACTTCCCTTACAGCATCGCGGAAGGGGTCACTTCCAAGAACAAACTGAAGTTTGACGGTGCTCATGAGTGCATGAATAAATGAATGAATTCAGTGAATGGCATTGCTCTTTTCTCCTCATCTGACTGTGGCCTGCTGGGAGCACCCTCATCTAGCGGTCCTCGATGTTTCGGCCCCACGACCAGTCAGGGTTGTTCTAGTCTCTCGGAGGACGTCCCCTTCGCTCAAGCGAAGTCGCGGTCCTAACACTGTCATGGCCCCCGAGGGCCACCGTAGCTGGCCGCCGACTTGCGCTTAAAGCCCGCGCTGGCGGCGGCGCCATTTTGTTTCCGGGCACTTCCGCGTGTGCGCACCTGGTCCTGCTTTTCCGGCTGCGCGCGCATCTCTCAGTTGTGGTGGGCAGGCCGGACCTCGAGCGATGCTTTCAGCGTTTCATCTCCGAGCAAACTCACAGGCGTCTTTAGAGCTTTCTCAAGCACTCAGTTATTTGCTCCTCAAAACAGTTTCGGAGAGAGAAGAGGCAGAAATCACTGTAAGCGCCTCTCAGGCACCTTTCCCCATCCCGGGGCCGGGAACGGGGGTGGGGGGATGGGTGCTGGGAGGAGAGGCCTAGTGTTTGCTTCATTAGCAAATTGGTCAAGCAATCAAAAAAAAAACTCAGTAATATTTAAAACCGGTTTGAAATTGCAGACAAAAAGTGGGTTATCATTACGGTGAAACTATTAACTTAAGGAACTGAACACGTAACTTGTAGAGTTAAACGTAAACACTTAGGTTTGCTTGTTAATTTATTTCAGTGATTCTCAGGCTCCTTCATGTTCGTCAACTGCTAGCTTTATCTATAATTTCTCCCTTAA